CCACGCCCTTGTTAGTGGAATGGAAGGCGTGTCAAATGAAAAGTGACTTCATCATCATCATCATCATCATCATCATCATCATCATGTCGGGGTCGCCTGGGTTGTGACGACATCAAGAGCCAGTCCCTGAGCCCTCTTCCTCCAGCTGTCTCGATCTACCATGCAGGTGCGCAGCTCCTCTGCAGATGTGAGATCAGTGTCCCTCTTGAGCTGGTCCACAAAGGTTAGACTTCCTCTCCCTCTTAAGGCAGTGCCCTGGGTGGGCTCCCACAGTATGGTTGGGTGGGCAGCAAGCTCAGGGTGGCGGACGCAGTGGCCAGCAAGATTAAGACGACGCTGTCTGATCTTGTGAGTCACTCTCTGCTTGCCGTTGTAGAGGTCATCATTCCTCATACGATCCCGCCACGATACGTTGAGGGCTATACGTAGCATGCGAGTGAAGCATCCATCCAGTGACTTCTCCTCCTTGGTTGTGAGGGTCCAAGTGACTTAAAAAAAATACGTTTTAAACGTGTTCTTTCCCATTTCAATTAACCACAGACTACCTGTGTGGTTACGCCTACATGTCTGTCGTACCGTACGTGTCTTGTGTTTATACGACTTTTACCACCAACTGGAAAGTTTCCACCGTTAGTCGTCGGGATGCAGTTTGCCTTGGGTTTTTTTCGTGCGCAATTTCCATATGAAAGGAAATAAAGTTATTCGTACGCAAAAGCAAATTAATAAGAGCTTCTACAATGATGGAATAATAGGTAAACCGAACATTTAGTTTCCATTGGATTTAAACAACTTAGCACCTCACCCTCTCTTTCTCTCTCCTTTTCTTTTCTTGTTCCGCCATCTACATTGCCATATAACTTCAAATATGTTACCCGTATGCCTAATCAATGTGTTTTTTCTCTAGCTCAGAATAACGTCGTCATTAAGAAACAATCGATTTTCTACCCAATTTTATCGGTTTCTATTTTGTGTTCCTGTTTATTTTTGTATGTTTTTGTTGTTTCACTCCATTGACCACCGCACGTATAATGCCCCCAAATGTTAATCAAACTTTGTTCCTATATTCAGCCATGTGGTTTCCAAGGCCGATTTCTAAAGGTTACGATTTCTAAAGGTTACTAATACTATGAATGAACCAACATGCACACAAAGATGTGGATGTTCGCTGGCGAATCATTGAAAATCAATTTCTCCCGTTTGGAAGACCGTATCTTCATGCAACTTTCAGGGTTTGTTTTCCTTATAATGATCCAAGTATGTGCTAACAATAGTTGTGATATGTTTCGTACTTTTCGTTGAAATTGGGAAACAAGCCTTGGGTACGTGCAGTTTTCAAAGATGTAACATTTATGGTGTTTGCAATATCTGTCAATCTTTTCAAGCCTCACGAATATTAATAAGGTTCCTATCCATTACGGTGTGCAGTACAAATTTGCTATATCGCCTCCTACACGAGTTATTAATTAATAAATACCACCATTTTGCCGGTTTCCATTGGTCGATACCGAGATCTACGCGAAGCTACACAGAGTCACACTAGTATATGCTAACATGTGCTTCATCATTGTTGCCCCGAAATCGCCCAAACAGAAAACTATGCACGTGATTTTGGTGGGCCATAAATCCATACTGAACACGTTTCTGACTAAATTGTCTTTTTGAGGTTACTTTATCTTTTCATTTAATGAAACGTAAACCTTTAACGAGCCATCGAAAACCTATTGATGCGGTTTAAAAAAAAAAAAAAACCTCAAAATTGAGTTACAACGTTTTTGCACGGTTTATCATTTTTTGTTTCTCATTGGGTCTTGAGCAAAATTACACGAAGCAATTTTCACAAGCAACCTCTTAACAACACGAGGCATGATAACTTTTTATAAGACGATTTTGGAGGCACGGAGTCATTTTGTGCGTTCTGTATTGTTTCTCTCCATTCCCCCGTCATTCCTTCCATTTTGTTTTTCATTCGCTTATATTACGTAACGATGACGCGTTCCGTTTTTATTGGTCACAGCAAGCACAGGCTTCAACTGCACCTTCGAGGAAGGGTTTTGTGGTTGGAGACAATCGAACGAGGACATATCCAGCTGGCTGCTGTTGCAGGGGCAAACTTCTCTTTTAGTCAGAAGGCCAGATTTCGACAGGACATTTGGCAGTAAGTGTTTGCATCACGTGATGTTTTATTAATCTATACACGGTGTCCCGAAGATAGGTTACCAACAAACACATATTATTTGACCAGACTATAAACTGAATTGATCATTTCGTTGGACTTAGCATAAACCTAGGGGCATAAGCTTTCCGTTCTTGTCTTGATTTCATTCATCTAATCATGCATTACTAAGATTGATTATCTTAGAGTAGTATGAAAACCTCGGAACGGTTTGGCGTAAAACCTGCGCACATCCAGAAGTAAGGCGAGTATACATTCAAACCGACATTTAAGATTGGCGGGAAAAGGATTTTTGTCAAATTGTGATCTTACTTGATAAGTACCAGCACGTTAAATCATGTGTATCACCTTCCACATGCCCCTTTTACAAAAAGGTGGCACATACCTTCTATGATCCGGCTCCCCACTTCCGGGTGATTACCGAAAACTGTCCACTAAGTTATGAGTTCAGGACTTCAAAACCTGAAGGTAAGAAGGCAGAGGTACAGGTGCAATGTTAAAAACCGTGTCTGCTAAATACGATCTCTGCAAAAAAAGTAAGTAAACATAGAGTTAAATTTGTTGACTTCGAACGCCATTCCGCACTATGATTCTGTGTGATTACTCTGTCCCCCCCCCTAAAAAAATCTAGAAGCGATATCAGACAGCAAATTATCTGTGGGGCTGGTGAATTATCTTATGCCCTGAAAAGAGCCCAAAAGATACCACATCCTTTACTTTCAAGATGAAAGCATAAGACCATCAATGAAAGACATCCCGCTTTGTTAATATTTTTCTCTTTGTCTCAGACATAGTCGTGTTGTAATTGATTATTATACAAATATAACATGGTTTGAGGGTGGACAGTCGATATTGGCTCCCCGAAATAAACCATGTTATATTTGTTTTACTATACCTCATACATATTCAGTTACCGATTTATTTTTTATTATTATGCACCTAAAACAAAATTTGGGGAAACTTGTGCAGCTCACCAAAAGAATATTGTTGTTCAACTTCAATTACTAGTTCAGTTCGTTTGCAATATAATACAGTTACTACAGTTGTAAATACAGTTGTTTGCAATGTGTACAACTTTCTTTCGCACAGGAGACATATTTACACGGTCTATACATTTTCTCCAGTACGGCATCATTGAGCTCTGGAAATTAACATTTACGCGAACCGTGCAACCATGCATCTCTCCTGGGCGATGTTCGCGCGTGCGTACTGTACCCGTGCGACAGTTCCTCGATTGCTCTGTAAAGCGCATGCGTAGTAGACTGTCGCACGGGTAACCCATGCGACAGTCTACTACGCTTGCGTATTTACAATGTGCGTGAATCCTCGCGCGCGCGTTTGGTAAACAGCAAGAATAACATCTGGCACGTGATGGTGAATTGACCAATGAGAGTTCGGCTCTCGATCATGAATATGTATGAGGTATAGTAATATGTTCTACACTTACCTGTCTCATAAAGGTTTCACGTAGGCCTACCATTTTCAATTCAATGGAGCTTAGTGATGCATGACCACAGCAATAAAATGATATCAACGGAAGCCTACTGCCGCTAGTTTATGATAAATCATATTAATAAATACCTTGGAGAGTTGATGGTTTCTGATTGGTCGAGACTCGATCACGTGAGGGTGTATTAACGGTGATATAAAGACCGGCTTCAAAGAACAAGCGAAAAAATGGCCCCTGAACCAGCATTGATCCAGCCCCATGGAAGGCAATGATTGGCAAAATTTACAACAGTCATACGGCAGCTTGTAACAATACAGCACTGCACATGCGCTTCAACCACCTTCGCGTGTGACTGACGCGCGCGTACGCAACACGGTTGCTATGGGTGCGCGCGCGTAAGGAAGTTTTGAAACGACATCGTACAGCAGTGCAGTATATACTGAGGATGTTTACGACGAATGAGCGTAGATCTACGATTTATTTTCTTTGAACACTTCGCCCATCGACATATTTACCTTTCCTAAACCAAGCATCTTTGTAATTCTGGACACAAGGAATGTGTAAACGAAATTTCAGCTTCCTCCATCAGGTAAAAATACGAAAACATTGCTGTAATTTGTTTCGCTACGGCAACAGAAGTCCAAACCCCTCGACGTCGTAAGCGTGCGCAATGAAGACGTTGTCCAGCGCAGCCTGGGCCCGGCTGTGGTGTATATAAAACGCTTATTGAAGAGACAGGGTTCTACGCATAAGCTAAAATATGGCCCATGAACATGAACACAGAAAAGTCTGGAAATATCGCCGAAAGAAAGACACAAAATTGGAGCATTTTAATTGTTTATTTTGTTAAAAAGGTATTTATTAATGGGAATAACAGTGTGAGGAGCCGGTCTTCACTGCGTGATAATGACCGGGTGTGGGGGTGACCGCTGTTAATGGACCTCAACTTCGTCTCGGTCCATTAACAGCGGTCACCCCCAAACCCGGTCATTATCACGCACCTCACACTGTTATTTCCTTAACAATAGTCAATAATTTCAAAGCTTATGATAATGGGTTAAATTTGTAATAATCCTGTATTGTTTTCGTGTCATAAAATGAAAGCTTGCCCAAAAGATGTCGCTAAAAATCCGAATAGGTGTTAAATTAAAAATTTGACTGGTTTCGATTCGTAGAAATTAAAGTATGTTTTTGTTTTCGAATTGCCTTGACTTAACCAAATAAATTGCCTTAAGAAATGCAAGCCAACCCATGATGCCTCTTCTAAATTTTGAATAAATATCTGCCGATCTTCTTTCAACAATCATTGCAACATTTATTCCAAAGTCATCTGTGCTTGTAATCTATGAAAAAAATCCCTACCCTGCACAGATGCGAGTGGCTACTACATCAGTCATACTACAGCACACGTTTTTGGCAGGAAGGCTACAGTTGTCAGCCCTGTCGTTTCGCCAAGTAGAGAACAGCCAGGAAACAAGTGGTGTTTCAGTTTCTGGTACAATATGTATGGAGACGGCATGGGTAAGGCTTCCAAACCATTTTCACAATGCATGATTAAAATGACTCTTTGCATCCAATTAAAATGTTCAATCCACGAATTGCAACTTAAAGGGTGTTTAATTTTATGCTAAAACAAACTTCCATATTCATTACCAACGTGTTGATGTCACAATTCTCAAAAACTATCCAGTGAGTACTTAGGTATTGCCTAGAAACGTCGGTATGAATTTTAATGACTCGCTATGGTTATTGTACAATGTGCCGTAGTGGACGTTTACGATTGACTCACTGGCTGTTTATATTTTTTTCATTACATGAACAAGTGTTCATTTTCATTGTGTAAGGTTTATTAAGTCATCCTCCCCCCGCAGAAGTTGAACCTATATCATGGACAGGATACAAAATCCCCATTAAAAAACTTCCTGCAAGACCTCCTGACAGAACGCCTTTGCCGATTAGCATGAAATTTGATAAGAAGTCAACATGGTACCGAAAAAAAGTATGAAGGGTTTCATGGCTAGCAAGGGAGCCGATTTAAAATGATTGATACATAAACGTCTACCCTTTTGTTAAAAGAACATGGCCATGTGCAAACTATTTGGTTTTTGCCTAGTCTTATCGAGAACTGACTTGAACAAGAGATCAAAGCAATCTGACTAACTAGAATGCATGCAGGGAAAACAATATTGCCGCCGTTGGCGCAAAAAGCAGCTTAAACTCTATTATAAAAATACCATAAGTATAACATTTGTACCGATTTGAGTCGGTAAGAATGTCTGTGTCAAATGTGACAACATTTAATATATAAACAAACAAAAAGGGAATAACGATATTGTTTTTCTTACAATTGATACAAAAACAGAATTCAGATGCAGAATTCTGATGATGAAAAAACACTTACTCAGATTCTACATTCATTACTCCTGCAATATCAAATACAATAATCTTTCAATGAAAAAACAGAAAAATGGAATAAATGATTCATTTCGTCTTTATTTTGCTTTTTAATTGGTGTAACAGCGACCCTCAATGTGTACAAGCTTCCAGTATATCACACAATCAGTGAGGGTGAAATCATCCTAACCAGAAGCGGTCAATATACGAATCCAAGGGGTTGGTTCAAAGCCAGGAGTTGTGTGAGATATGCTGCATCGGAATTTCAAATTGCTCTTCAGGCAGTCAGTGGTGACGTCGTTCCGTCGTACGTGGCAATCGATGACATTAATACTGGTATGATATAATATGATATGATATAATATTTACCATTAACCCGGATATGCCAAACTCTACCGCGGTATTTCCGCGAAACGCATTTTGACAATGTGGAACTTTGTCAAACTTGAAAGGAACTTGTCGTTAGTGATAAATAATTATCAAACATATGCTTTTTTTTATTAAACTTTATTACAGTCGTTTTCCTAGTTCCGGATAGCAAACATCATTCCGGCTGCTTTCAGCTCAATTACTCCACAATTTCAAATGACATTGGTTCAATAGATTACCTGAGTGATGGAGATCCTACATACTAATTTTCCAAATTTATAGGCTCTTTTTATTTTTACCTTACGACGTAGAAAGTACCGATGTCACTTTTCCTGGTGTTATGTGCGGGGAACGCACGGTAGAAAGAAATAAGTAATAAGAACGGGAATCATGACTTTTGAATCAAAGGCAAAAAAGAGACCAATATATAATTCACAAAATTTAACTAATTCCCCCAAATCAATCAACAGGACAGTGTGTGATACAACAAACGTTTTTAGTTAGTCTGCAACTTTAAACTTCATGCAAGAACCCCAAAGCATCAGATACAGGCAAAGCAAAATAAATTACAAAGAAATTAGCAAAGCAGCAAATTATACAAACAGGCAAAATACAGTAAAAAACAAGCCGGCAAAATAGAGTTAATGAGCGAGAAAAAAAAAGGCAAATTGTATTCGGCCGAATATAATTACCAATAAGGAACCAGTAGCAGGAACAGGCCCCGCCCAGCCAGTGCCCACAACGGTATTAGCGCAGCCATCGAAACAAGCATCTCCGCACCCAGCTGTAGATCAGCCAAGCCACAGGTAAGTCAGCGTTGAGCACCGGGAAGTCAGCCACATCAGGCGGGCCACGACAATCCAGGTCTCCGTCCGATAGTACCGTCAGCCTCGGCCACGATCCAGCGATGAGGAGTACGTAGCTCGGTAGAACGGCGGGAGATGCTGGCTCAACGACGCCCTAATGGGAATCGCACATAATGGTTGTACATGGGCACCAACTGAGAGCGAATAAAAGCCAGTGAGTGCTTATATTGGGTATTTACCCGCGCGAAGTCACCATAACAAATATTCATTAAATACCGAAAATTCTAGAGCGGAAGCAAACCGTACTAAAGGATTACAGATTAAGTGGGTTCGTAACACTAGTTCCGGATCGGTTCAATCAGCTCCGAATCGATCAAAAACTGCTTCGCGCAAAAAAAAAAAAAAGAATCACGCGAGAAAATCATTTTTTTTTCCAGCCAGAACTTGGCGAATCAATCTGATAAATTATTACTTCATTTTCCCAAAAAAGTTCATTCAAGAGAATTCCACCGAATTTAACAAAGAGAAAAACGTAAATGATTTTGAAACGTTTGTCTGCAGCGCAACGGCAGATACTCACGCACGGACCGAAAACATTTGACACAGCACAAAATCGATTAACGCGCGTGTAGTTGGGTCGTAAGTTACGAATAAGTACATGTGCTACCCAGAACTAGTCAAATGCGTACAGTCATTCGTTGGCGAATTTTCAAAAATTAGAGACTCTACATCTTATTTTGATTTAACAAAGATTCGATGGAAGAGTTTATACGACTATTGTGTATAAACAAAATATTCGAAATCACATTGTTCGAGTAATGCACCGAGGAGAAAATTGTTCGTCCATTGGCAGCTCCCGCGATTTTCTACAAACCGTCCAAACTAGTCAAAGTGCAAGTCGGAAATCTGGCTGAAATTCCTCTTTGAAAGATTTTATCGGAAAAAAATGTTGTGTATCATGGGGTTTTTCTTTTCCTTTTCAAAATGCACATCGTCAGAAAAGTTTTTTATTGGAGACTAATCCAAAATAGGTAGGTTTTTATTTGAAGCTATCTAGAACTAGGAAAAATCAGGAACTAGGAAAACGACTTCATTTTATTCGCCCTTTCGAACAAACGAGGAAAACAAATCATCAGGATGTATTATTCTTTATCAAACAATATCAGAACGGCAACATTTCGATTGGTTACGAACACCTACATTTTTATTTTATATTCATCTTCCTCCAATCACTGTCCTACGTTGTCTGTCTCCGTTATTTGGATACTTCATTTCCCCTAGTTATCCCTCGAATGTTCCTCTTCGATGCAACTGGAGACTTTCCTTCAGATGGTGGAGAGGCAGTCTTTTCGGATAGAAATCATCCATTTACATGCACGATACTAGACGTCAACCGCGAGGTCAAGGGTGAGTAAAAAAGAAAGTAACCTTACCTGTATTAATATTTCCCATTTAAAAGAAATTAAGTTTGATACGTCAATCAAGAATGTATTAAACGAGCATGTTCTTTCACTCATATCACAAAAAAAGCTGTCCGTGAAATGCTAAACGCTTTGAAGCTATTCAGCCGAGTGAAAACCGGAGACAACACACAGGCATTAAAATACAAATGAGGTTTTAATAATTTGAGTCAAGACTAAAACATTATTTTTGTCGAAGTTTGTGTTTGAAATAAGGAACGAATCAATTTCTTTCTGAAATGATGATGGGGATTTTTGTCTTTTTTCATTTTAAGTTTTCGTTCATTCAAGGAGGTATGTTCATTGAATTTTAAATTAAAACTGAATTTTGTGGTATTTTTTATTAAAATGGAGATAACTTGTGCAAATTACATGCATTTTTTACAGTAACTAGCTGAATAGCTTCAAAACACGTGTCAATTAGTCCTATGTTATTTATATTAAATGAGCGAGCCACACTTTTTTTAAATTGTTTTTAACTAGGTCGTTTTCTTTTGAACTCACTTTGTAGAACTTGTGTGGACCTTGGCTGGCCAGCGAGTAAAACAAGTCAGAAACAGAAGCGTCGACACCATCGACGGATTCAGCGTTATCAGTAGTGTCGTTGTGTCACCTAACAGAGACATCCATGGAAAGACACTGCAATGCGAAGCGATCGACACAGATGGTGAACTGATCGACAGTATGACTATATCAATCGTTGTAAGAGGTGAGATGCAATTTTAAATATGTATATTGAAGTTGAAACGTAGTCTCGTTTATATACCTTTTTTTATTCAATTCAATTAGAAATTTATTAACATAATTTTCAAATCGTTATGAGTATAAATATATCTATACTACAATTCAAGGAATCTCTGTCTGTCTGTCTGTCCGTCTGTCCGTCTGTCTGTCTGCCGATTATCTCCAGAACCGGGCACCGTATGGAGTTGAAAATCGGCGGGCGCGTTGCTCGGAACAACAGAATGTGCAGTGCCAAGTTAGAAGTGGATTGGACCAGCGGTTGTCGAAAAAGCTGCAAAAAAGCAGTATTTTCGGACGCAAACGTGGCAGCTTAGAACATAACACCACGCGCTGCCGTTCTTTTCAATTGTTTACGTCATGTTTAAGCTAAAGCGCGCGTGCTCAATATGACGCAAACAATGCAAAAAGGACGGGCACGCGCACGTGCATTGTACTTAGGGCGATACATTGTCCAGTATGGGTGAATAGCGCTGCATACCATGTTTTGGTATGTACACGGGCACATTATTTTGCAGTCGACTGAGCAGCCATTGTAGGTGGTCGAACTTCAAACTTGGCACAAACTTCGACGTAAGTGTGCGTTCAACCTGTGAAAACAACACCATTGAATCGCGTGCATTGTTTGCACGAGCAGATCTCCAAAACTCTGCAAGTATGCAACCTATACCAGCGGCAAAGCAATTTGCGTTTCCCGAGCATGCGCATTTTAGACGGGCACTGCACTAGTCTTACTATAATTCCAGGAATCTCTGTCTGTCTGTCTGTCCGTCGATTATCTCCAGAACTGGGCACCGTATGAAGTTGAAAATCGGCGGGTATATTTTTCGGGACAACAGAATGTGCAGTGCAAAGTTTGAAGTTGTTTGGACCAGCGGTTCTCAAAAAAGCTGCAAAAAAGTAGTATTTTCTGAGGCAAACGTGGCAGTATATAGCTTAGAACATAACACCCGCACGCGCTGAAGTTCTTTTCAATTGTTTACGTCATGTAAAGTTAAAACGCGCGTGCTCAATATGACGCAACACCGCGCGTGCGTATGGCGCCACTACTGAGTTGTGGACTGTGATGTCACAATTAACGCTGCACGCGTGTACGTGCAAAGAGCTAGCTGACCTTCACTGGGGGATATTCCACTATCAACAATGGGTACTTCACTGGGGGTGGGGGGCTGGGATAAACAATAACGCGTGCGTTGTTTGCACGAGAAGTTCTCAAAAACGCTGCAAGCAACCAATACCACCAGCGGCAAAGCAATTTGCGCTTCCCGAACATGCACATTTTAGACGGGCACTGCACTAGTCTATACTACAATTCAAGGAATCTCTGTCTGTCTGTCTGTCCGTCTGTCTGTCTGTCTGTCCGCCGATTATCTCCAGAACCGGGCACCGTATGGAGTTGAAAATCAGCGGGTGCATTGCTCGGGACAACAGAATGTGCAGTGTCGATTTGGAGTGGTTTGGACGAGCGGTTGTCGAAAAAGCTGCAAAAAAGCAGTATTTTCTGAAGCCCAGCGCGCCAGAATATAGCCTAGAACTCCGCGCACTGATGTTCTTTTCAATTGTTTACGTCATGTTAAAGCAAGAGCCCGCGTGCTCAATATGACGCAAACAATGCAAAAAGGACGGGCACGCGCACGTGCATTGTAGGGCGATACCATTGTCCAGTATGGGTGAATAGCACTGTATGCGTACCATATGTTTCCGTACGTGATGACTGCACGGGCACATGCATTTTGCAGTCGATTGAACCACTATTGTAGGCGGTGGATTGAGCAACCTTACTCACGTAGGTGAGTAGCTGCACGGGCGTATTGGTGAATATCAGTGCCGGGGCCCTGCAAAAATGACGGGCATATTGTAGGGCTATAGCACTGCACACCATGTCTTCGTACGTACATATACGTGAGTGGCATGCACGGGCACATGCATTTTGTACTCAACTGAGCAACCATCACTGCACAGAATGTGCCGGGGGGGGGGGTTGACGACATTTTGTGAGTTTAACTTGCGAGTGTGCGTTCACACCGTTGAATAATGTGCGTTGTTTGCACGAGCTGCAGTTCTCAACTGCCCCTTCCGAACACGCATATTTTCGACTGGCCCTGCACTAGTCTATACTACAATTCAAGGAATCTCTGTCTGTCTGTCCGTCTGTCTGTCTGTCTGTCCGCCGATTATCTCCAGAACCGGGCACCGTATGGAGTTGAAAATCGGCGGGTGCATTGCTCGGGACAACAGAATGTACAGTGCCAAGTTTGAAGTGGTTTGGACTAGGGGTTCTCGAAAAAGCTGCAAAAAAGCAGTATGTTCTGAGGCCTAGCGCGCCAGAATATAGCTTAGAACATAGCACCACGCACTGCCGTTCTTTTCAATTGTTTACGTCATGTTAAGCTAAACCGCGCGTGCTCTTATACGACGCAAACAATGCAAAAAAGACATGGGCACGCGCCATAAGTCTATGGCACGCGCACGGGCATTGTAGGGCGATACTATTGTCCAGTATGGGTGAATATATAGCATTGCGTACCATGTTACCGTATGTACACCTACGTGGTGGCTGCACGAGCACATTATTTTTGCAGTCGACTGAGCGACCTTACTGCAGGACGATACCATTGTCCAGTAGGGGAGAGTAATATCTGCGCTATTTTTGCAGCCTTTTTGAGAAACACTCGCCCAAACAATTTCAAACTTGGCACAAACTTTGACGTGAGTGTGCGTTCAACCTGTGAAAACAACACCATTGAATCGCGTGCGTTGTTTGCACGAGCAGTTCTCAAAAACTCTGCAAGCATGCAACCAATACCTGCAGCAAAGCAATTTGCGCTTCCCAAACAAGCACATTTCAGACGCCACAGCACGGTTGTACGCGTACGAGGACGCGAGAGGCTGCACGGGTATACGCATTTTGTCGTCGACTGAGCAAAAATTACTGTAGGCGACTGACTGAGCAACCTTTACTGTAGGACGATACCATAGTCCAGTATGGGTAAATATCAGTGCCAGGGGATGGCGACGTGTACAAAGTGCGCGTTCAACCTATAAATGTGCGTTCAACCTGTGAAAGCTAGCAACATGTAATGTGCGTTGTTTGAATGAGCAGTTCTCTGCCCCCTCCAAACAGACACATTTTCAACTGGCCCTGCACTAGTTACTATTAAATCAAATAAGTATACTTTAAATAAGTATACTATCCGGCAAAATCCGAATAAAAACAATTCAGGGAAATTCAAGAAGTTGAAGCTTGTATAAACATGTTAAACACAGGAAAACAATTGTAAGAAAAAAAGTTAACCGATCAATAAACATATGATAGGAAACAAAAAGGGAACAGGAAAAAGAGACAGACAAACGGACAGACAGTACAAAGTATTGCGTAATGAAAGAACACAGTAAGTACAGTTTTATAAAAGAAATATCAAAGATTGCAGAAAAATGCTGAAAAGTTGTCACAAATTGAAAACTCCAAATTCTCTTTTACAAGCCTTTAAATCGACCAACATCATCCAAAGCGTTCCAGAGACACAGCCCGTAGTATCTCAAAGTGCTTTTGGAGTGAGTCCTGCGATTGTAGGGCAAACATACATTTTGTTTGTTACGTGACCTAGTTGGATACCCCCTGAGTGTCTTAGACTGTGCTGAAAAAAAGATGAGAAGGAACCAAGAAGGTAGTTCTGTTGACTTGAACCGGTATGAAGTTTATTTGTGTCAATAAGTGGCAAAAAGAGGTCGGTGTGCTCGTGCGAAATTGAATTGGTACACATTCTTGTTTAATATACAAATGCTTAAAGAGTAGATAAGCATTATGCACTTTTAATGCTCGTTTTGTGCGTGCGTGTGGCATCTAACCAGTAAAGAATATTTTCCAAAATTGCGATCACTAAATATGAATAGGGTATCCAATTGGATGCTTTTGACGTTTATCTAAAAAAGAAATCTCAGTTACTCTTGTAATAATTGTATCATGGTAAAACATTTTAACCGATGTGTTTCTCAACCTAAGATCAATCAGACCGAAAAAAAATTAACACGATATTTCATTCTTTCCCTGTAGTCTGTACACAATTAACTTTTATCTGACGTTATCGTGACTTTTCGTGTACTCACATTTCGGGTCCTTTGATGACGTAATTCGTGGCGGTAGGTAATACATTGTTCGAGATCGAAGACAATTTACGCAGAATCATTTTTAAAAATCGAGGAGGTGACATTTTATTTTTTGGTGAGGTGAAAACAACTCCTTTTCTTTGCTTGACACCCTCAGTGCATTGTGCGACACCGAGGAAATGTCACGGTAAATTATTAGCTTCATGAAGTATGAATTTCAGCAATTCCAACAAATTATCGGGTCTGAAAACGACGAAGAATCTGTAATTATTTGACACGCAGGCTTCAACTGCACCTTCGAGGAAGGGCTCTGTGGTTGGAGAGTAATCGACAAGGACTGGCCCAACTGGCAGCTGCAGCAGGGGCAAACAGCTGGTGGCAATGAGCCATATGTCGACAGGACGTTTCGCAGTAAGTGTTTGCATCAGGAGTTGTTTTATTAATCTATACGAGATCAATTCACCTTTCCGTTATTATCTTGACTCAATTCATTTGGTGGTGCATCTCAGCTTTGTTGTCGTGAAAAAAAGAATTTTATTTGATCTACAAGTATTAACCCTTGATAACTTGATCATGTTCGTGTGTTGTGTTATTGTCAGTTGTACAGTCTTACTACACGTGGCAATAATTAGAGCGACAATAATTAGAAGATCAAGCACAACCCGTTCACCCTTTTAGAATCGTTCTAATCTGCTTATTTTCTTTCCTTCTCCTCTTCTTACCCTTCTTTCTGTCTTTCTCTAGAGGTTTTCTTCTTCAACGGTTTATGTTATAATCGTGTAACTTTGAACCCTGATCCAAAATTGTGCATATTACGCTGACGTCATGATGATGATGAGGTCATCAGATATCTAATCACAAGCGATTTGAGTTAAATAAAATGATAAATGATGTTCATATGCTGCAATAAGACAACAGATTAACCAATTAATTGATTAGCATTTTTGTCGCAATCGTAAAGTCGCTTGACCCTTACTTCTGGGGATACCGGAAGATCAAACTTAGTTGAATTCAAAATATGGACATGAGCCTCAAATCAGAACAAACCGAAATAGCTTCCAAATGGTCTACGGGATAGTAAAACCCGGGACGTGATGAATCCGGAAGCCATTGTACCTCTGGCAAAGTTTTGTTCCTTGGAGTGACTCCGTGATGACATCGTCATGTGTCATGTAACATCATCTTAAAAGGGCTTTCTTCAATAGTCGGTATCCACAGAACTACAAGACCGATTAGGTTTTATTGTTGTTTCATGTATGCTACAAATTATAATGTACAAGTACACCCATTCTGGAATTTGTATTCCTGTGGAGACATTTCTTTGTTCTCGTGTAGTAAAGTTTTCGAGTGTGAAATTGAAGTTTCAAAATGCTCTTATTTTTACCAGAATTAATTTCCTGGGCTGAAATTTGGACTAAATATCCCTTTTCTAAAACTCTTCCATTTGCGACGGATCAACCTACCTTGGAAATTCCTAGTTTTTTAGTAAAATCCATATATCTATTTCGTGAAATTCTTGTGGAGACGTATTCATCTATAGAAATGTTCTTCTGGAGACGTATACAATCTTTTGTTCCCTGTTGTGTTCATGTCTCCGTAAGGTAGTAAATTCCAGCACAGTGGCGTGTCAAGTGTGTGTGTGTGTGTGTGTGTGTGGAGGGGGGGCAGGGGGCACCCCCCGCGGATTTGTTCGAAAGATTTTGGTTTTTTTCAGTATTTGTTCCAATAAATTCGGCATATATTTGCCAGTATGCTTAAAAATGGCCAGTTTTGAAGACCGCCCCCATTTGGAAGATGGGCACCCCCCTTTTTTTATTTTATGGAGGCACTCCGTGCGAGTGCGGTTGCCCAGTCCCCTAACATTAACAGCTGGATACACTATACATATACTTTTACGTCCTTGATGTGCACGGGGCGATTGTTTTTTAACAAAACGTCTTATGCGGGAAAGCCCTACTTTTGCCATAGAGTAACACAATGAGTGACGTAATCTTAAAGGCACTTTAAGTACTTAAAGGTCACATATATATAGAAAACTGTACGTCCGATTGGGTTTAAACTGGGTATCAGACACGGTTCTACGGGGGGGGGGGGGGGCTGGGGGGGGGGGCTTTAGCCCCCCAAAATTTTGTTTAGCCCCCCCCAAATGAATTCCGTAAAAAGAAATTGCATTAGCAAAAAGAAGGATTGTGATGTACATGATTGTGATGTACATGCGAACGGTCTCCCCCTAAAGAAATAGTCGTGACAAGGGTGCACTTGTAGTTAATATAGTGTGAATGATTTTGGGATTTTATTGGCGCTCCCCATTGATAATATGGCATGAGCCCCCCCCCCCCCACCCACCCACCTATTGATTTTCGGAGGCCTAAGTGTCTGGAGAAAATAACCGGTCTACATTTCAGCACGCCTCCCTGAAAAAAAAATCTGGATCCACTCTGCTAGCTCCCCAAAATATTGGTTCTAGAACTGCGCCTGCTGGGTATGTAGGTAGAAGACATGTATTTTGTTTGAAATTGTGGTGCCGTCATGATGACGTTATTTTTATTTTGGAAACTTAAGCCATATCTTATCAACAGAACAAGATAAGTACAAAATTCTTTTTTTGTAATAGGTTTGTTAGGTCATACTTTTTTTGCACACAAATATGACAAGTGTGTGACGTCAGATGACGTTATCAAAATTACATGTTCAGTCGTCAAAAACTGGTGAGTAGTTACAAACTGCTGCTTATATATTCACAATCCGAAATGCCGTCATAATGTCTTCATCAACTGATTTGATGCTTTTTTCCTTTTACACTTATTTTACCAGCAAAGTTTGACATGAAAAGTTACCAGTTGGACTTCAACTAGGCAGAGAGCTACTGTTAAGTTGACCGTAGACAAATTATGTCATATGACGTCATCCATGGTCATGTGACGTCATCTTAAAACTATACATTTTGCATCTAGAAAAATGTACTTCCGATTGGCTTGGAAATTGATGTGTGCATAAACAGGGTCGTGTGACAGACAAACATTATATTGACCTCGACTTAATTAACCTATGGTGGCCCTGAAGGGACATCACACATCAAGATTTCTGCGCAGAAATCTGCGATGTCGCACATTTTATTGCAGAAATCTGCGCAGATTTCTGCGATGTCGCACATTTTATCGCACATTTCTGTGCAGATTTCTGCGATGTCTCACATTTTATCGCAGAAATCTGCGTAGATTTCTGCGATGTCGCACATTTTATTGCAGAAATCTGCGCAGACTTCTGCGATTTCGCACATTTTATTGCACATTTCTGCGCAGATTTCTGCGATGTCGCACATTTTATCGCACATTTCTGTGCAGATTTCTGCGATGTCGCACATTTTATCGCACATTTCTGTGCAGATTTCTGCGATGTCGCACATTTTATCGCACATTTCTGCGAAGATTTCGGCGATGTCGCACATTTAATCGCAGAAATCTGCGCAGAAATGTGCAATGTCGCACATTTTGTCGCACATTCCTGTGCAGATTTCTGCGATGTTGCACATTTTATCACACATTTCTGCGCAGATTTCTGCGGATGTCGCACATTTTTATCGTACATTTCTGCATCTTTTTAACACACTGGCGCCTGGCTATTTTTTTGCTGAATCTAAGGGGTCTAAGACTGTCGGGGTTCTGGCCTCCATGATATTAATTTTGCATATTATATAGGATAGTAGTCGGGTGCCGACAGTATCTATATGAGGCGCCATGTGTAAATAAATTATTTAACAAAATTTTATTTAATTTTTTTTATATATAATTCATTATTTATTATATAATTCAGTTTTCCGGACAATTATATGTAAATAATTGTTTGGCAGTTGGCATTATATGTAAATAAATTTATTTTTGCTACTGCATTATTTATATATAATTTTTTTTGCAACCTAATTATTTACATATAATTTTGGGCAAACTAGATTATTTATATATAAGTTATTTGCAACCTTATTATTTATATATATTTCTATGCACACTTTTTTATTTATATATAATTTATTTGCAAACCTATGAAGCCCGGGAAGGGACAGGATGGAATTTTTTTTTTGAATTTCCCTAATTCGTTCGCACGAATTACTAATTCGTTCGCACGAATTACTAATTCCTGGGAACGAATTAGTAATTTGTTGGAACGAATTAGTAATTTGTTGGAACGAATTAGTAATTTGTTGGAACGAATTAGTAATTGCTAACTCTCTCGCACGGATTGCTAATTCGTTCGCACGAAATGCTAATTCGCTCCCACGAATACCAACTTGTTCCCACGAATTACTGGCACGTTCCCGGATGCACGAGTTAGCAATTCGTTCCCACGAATTAGGAAATTGTGCGAACGAAATAGCAATTCGTGCGAATGAATTAGCAATTCGTGGGAACGAATTAGCAATTCGTGGGGACGAAATAGCAATTTGTGTGAACGAAATAGCAATTCGTGGGAACGAATTAGTAATTCGTGCGAACGAATTAGTAATTCGTGGGAACGAATTAGTAATTCGTGCGAACAAACTAATAATTCGTGCGAACGAATTAGGAATTCGTGCGAACGAAATAGGATATCGTGCGAACGAATGACTAATTTGTTTGAACGAATTACTGATTCGTTCCCACGAATTAGTAATTCGTGCGAACGAAATAGCAATTCGTGCGAACGAAATAGCAATTCTTGCGAACGAATTAGGAATTTGTGCGAACGAAATAGGAATTCGTGCGAACGAATTAGCAATTAATGAGAACGAATTAGGACATTTCCAAAAAAAATTCCACCCTGTCCCTTCCCGGGCTTCATACAAACCTATTATTTATATATAATTTTTGTACACTTTTTTTTATTTATGTATAATTTATTTGCAAACTTATTATTTATATATCATTTTTTTGCCTACTTTATTTTCTGATAGATAATTTATTTGCAACCTTTTTATTTATATGTAATTGTTTGCACGCTTTAATTATTTATAATATAATTTATTTGGTACCTAATTTTTATATATAATTTATTTGGTACCTAATTTTTATATATAATTTTTTGCCTACTTTATTTATTTATTTATAATTTATTTGCAACCTTTTTATTTATAAGTAATTTTTTGCACGCTTTAATTATTTATTATATGATTTATTTGGTACCTAATTATTTTTATACAATTTTTTTGCACACTTTATTTATATTTAATTTATTTGGTACCTCATTATTTATATCTAATTTTTAGCAGTGGCAAATAAATTTATTTACATATAATTCAAACTCCCAAACAGTTATTAACAGTTATTTACATATAATTGTCCGGAAAACTGAGTTTTTACCCCATGCGACAAGACAGCTGGTAAAGAAATCAGGCTTCGAAAAGTAAGTAAATCTTTGAAAATTAATTGATAAGATTGGAGAACGAAATACACAACTATCCAGCAAAAACTGCTCTGAAATGTGACAAACACCAAGGATGTTTTGTTAATAAAGGAGGCACTGGCCTTGTTTCAATTATCCAGTGACCACACATGGGCGTGAGAAAGGAGGTCTGTTCCGGGGACAGCATACCAAAAACTGTCTAGGGGGCAATAAATTCTTTGAAGCCGTATGCCGGCCTCAAATAAATTATATAATAAATAATGAATTATATGTAAATAATTTTGTTAAATAATTCATTTACACATGACGCCTCATAGAAAACGTGTTCGCGCGCCCATGTGCTCGCAGAAATCTGCGATAAAATGTGTGACATCGCAGAAATCTGCACAGAAAAGTGCGATAAAATGTGCGACATCGCAGAAATCTGCACATATTTCTGCGATAAAATGTGCGACATCGTAGAAATCTACACAGAAATGTGCGATAAAATGTGCGACATCGCAGGAATCTGTACAGAAATGTGCGATAAAATGTGCGACATCGCAGAAACCTGCGCAGATTTCTGCGATAAAAATAATGTGCGACATCGCACATTAACCGAATTATTGAAATCATTAACGCAACATGTTTTCTTAACTCATCGGGCTATTTTATTTATATGAAAAACTACCCTGTACAGATGCGAGTGGCCACTACATCATAAAATCTAAGTTTCTCGAAAGAAACGAAAAACTTGTCAGCCCTGTTGTTTCGCCAATCACAGAACAGCCAGGAAATAAGTGGTGTTTCAGTTTCTGGTACAATATGCATGGACTCGACACGGGTAAGATTTTACAATTTTTACAATTTTACATTTATTACATAGGCCATACTAATAGATTTATTGAAATGAATCTGTCTATCCCATTTGTTTACCCACGTTTTGCAACTAAAGAGTGTTTCTTTGTCACAGTTACCTCTTTATTTTAA